TTTTCATATTTGGTGATTGTGAGGGCCCTGTCATCTGTGTGCACGTGGGTAGGGTGGTGCTTGGGTGAAAATGTAGAAGAAAAATGTAAATGTTGTTTGAGTAACCAAACAGAAAGTGGCAGGATCAGTTGGTCTCCAAAGAAAACCACTAAATTGGCCTTCTGAAGATTAATGAACTAGTCCTTCAGCAACTTGATGGCAATTCCTAGCACTTTATTTCCTGAACGTAGTTATGAAAAGAAAAATGTTTTAGAAACTTTTTATTCTAAAGAATTTCTGTACTCTGTGTACAAGTTGCCAGGTTATTTTAGCTTAAATTCTGTTCTCTGAGTAAAATGACAGGACGAATTTTTAAGTAGCCTATTTAAAATTGTGGTTATAAGTTGGGGAGAGGTGTGTAGTGATAGGTGAGAAGTGCTGAGAGCTGGTGGAAGCTTGTGGTCCACCAAACTTGAGTACCAGGTCACTGCTGGCCAGGTACTTACACGTATGTTTTATTTATAAGATATAGCATCAGACAATTGTTACTAGAATTCATCTTGTAAAATTTAAACTGTCCTGTGCTTTCCATTCTCAGTAATCTGCAACTATTTTCCCCCTTTAACTTTTATTTCTTGTATCTTAACTGCTATTAGGAGAGAACTGGAAAAACTAAAGAAGGAATTGGAAGAAGAGAAGCTGCTGCGAAGTAATCTGGAGGTAATGTTGGTAATTTGAGGGGGGTGAAGTTTAGAAGTGTGGGGCAGTGTTCTGGAATTTGATGCCACAGCAAAGTCTTAATGAAGATGCTCAATCTTTTGGTGTTTTTTAATTGCTGTGTTAGTGTGTGGTCAAATAAATGTCTCATGAGGCAGTTGGGTGTATACAGAAGATTCCCAGTTCATTTTAGTTCTTTCTTTATCTGGAAAATTGTTTTTAACAGTACATATGGTTGGTGTCTTGTGAGTTCAGTTTAGTGTTGCTAGGTTCTGCTTTTTGCTAGAAATACATCCAACTGGACATATTCCAAGAAAGATTAACATTTTTGTTTTAGTAAGACTGAAGGACAAATTTATGTAATCAAAAGAAAACCAGGGTGAAAGTAAACTTTTCTAATGCTGTTATGAACCGTTCAGATATTAAGTAGACAATTCACCAAAAGAACAGAAAGTATCTGAAAAATCTCTTTATGAATGACCACCACCACTCCCAATTTCTTGATGAAGGCTAACTGCATTACAGTATGCTGCCTCTAGTTAATAGGAAGAGCTCACTGTAGAAAATTATCTCAGCCTGGTGCAAAAGGGCATTTTATTTGTGAAATAGTACAAAGCTGCTTTCAAAACTTAAGAACTTCTGGTAAGTCCTCTTTTTATTGTCTCTCTAAAGCAATGAATGTAGTTGCCTTAAGTACACTCTGGGGATGAAGAGGAGGTAACTTCTGTGTATCCTCTCAATCTGTTTGAAGAGATGCAGATTCACCATGGCATGGTTAGGAAGTTAGTCTGAGGTGATGATGCAGCGTTACGTGGGGCTGTGTCAGGGGATTCCACAACCCAGCTCTGCCTGCTTTATTCAGAGTGGCTTTGTCCAATAAGTACAAGAACTATAGGCAAATTTATAATGCTTTTTAAATTCTTGCTTGTTTAGCAATATATTAGGCATTAAATCAGCTGTAGATATTGAGCTGTCAGATGTGTCTGTTTTATGATTTTATTTATTCTAGTGTCTTTGGGATGTAGTTTATAATTTTGGCGAAAAGCTCTGAAAGTTTTAGATTATTGCTACTTGAATACTGACCTTCTTTCTTTCCAAAATGTCCATTTTCCAGCTTGAAATAGAAAAACTGAAGAGAGCAGTGATGTCTACATGAGACAGCTATGGACTCCATGTTTTTAACTCAGAATTCAAAGCTGAACAGAAGAACTGACTTTTATTTCGTAATAATGAATGCTGGTGTTCTACAGTCTTAAAGAAGAAAAGTATAGTAAAAAAAAAAAAAAAGGAATATAGTCTTTTATTCAGAGAGCTAACAAAACAAAAAAGAATAACGGTGTAATTTTTTTGCCAATATAAAAGAGGCCTTATTTCTTACTGTGCTGGAATTGCAGACCTTATTTTTTTGGTTTGCTTGAAAATACTACTGAATCTGTATAGAAAGGAGAGGGAATTCTTAATAGATTTTTATTGAATACCTGTAGCTTAATTTTTAAAGAGATCTATGCTATAAATAGGGTGATCTATCTTTACAACTAATCTGTAAAATAGTCTATGGGGAGGGAAGGAATAACTGTATTGTAACTGTAGTCACTATTTTTCCCCTACACGCAAAAGGGAATATATGATATTTGTATAATTTTGGCAGTCGTACCCAGGGTTATGCTGTTGTGCCTGTCTGCAGTGAGAATATGAATAATATGCTGTTAATAAGTTGAGTAATGAGAGAGGAATTTGCTAATGCAATGAAGCTGGTGGAACTCCTCCTATGCATTGTAGTAAGAAGGAGCGATCTGATCGGAGTAGTTCAGCAGAACGTTCTGTCACTTGCACTATTGGATGAAAAGGGATTTTGGACTGAATGATAGAGTTCTGAGAAAATCAATTTCTCCAACCACAAAATGTGAGAAATACAGAAACAAGACTACAATCCAGTCTTCAATCAACCTGTCGTGCCTAAAATATTACAGTATACAGCATGAAAAAGTAAACCTTATGTCACAGTGTCTGTGATTCTGTGCATCTCAGCTGAAGTCATCAGTCTTTCTAGTGGTTAAATATGCTTCTTCATCTGTTTTTACCCTAGGCAGATTTTGTTTATAATATGTCTTCAAATAAAAATCCCTTTTGGAAAGGTCTCAATATTTATATATTTATGCCATAAACTTTCTCGGTATATTGTGTACCTCTAAATTTAATAACATCTTTGTATTTTTGTGAGTGATTGGAACAATTGCTTTGACAGCATTGTGCTGGTGTCCAAGACAGCATCTCTCACATTTTATGAAAAACAGTTGAAGTCTTGTAGGTTGCCATTGTCTGTAACCCCTGAGCTCAACCCAATGCACCAGAATAATATACAAATAATACACAAAGTGATGGGAGACAACAATATTTATTATGTTCATTTGATAAAAGAATTGAAAAAAACCATATAGCTTTAGAATTCTGGTCAGCTGCATTACAAAAGGGACCTTCTCTCTTTTTGGTCCACTAGAATTTAAATGGCAAAAACATGCCACATAGTTTGGCAACTTCACCAGTAAGAAAAGAAATTAATTTTCTATTCATGGGAATTATAACCAATATAGTAATTATTCACTATGTCACTTGAGGAAGTGACTTGGAAGTGTTACTTCTTGAGAGTATACTTTTTCCCCAGTTGATGCATCATAAAATACAAAAGTCAATTGGAGGATGTTTGTCATTTGCTGATTTAAATTGTCCATAAAATTTGATTAATATACTATGCAGGTATTAGGTAATATTTGCTCGTCACGTTGCTTAAAGAAGATGATTCAATATGAATGCTTTTAACTCCTAATTATCTGGGTGCATCAAAAATGAAGGGTTGAGCCAGATCTTGATATTGAGGAATAACGTGCAGCAGTAATGCTTCTCCTCAGACACTCAGCTCTTGCTTAGAATTCATACCTCTGTCAGGTGATGAAAAGCAAGGGTTGAGCCTCATGGAACAGCCAATTTTGTTATACAAGCTCTTCACTGTGATTACAGCATGAAACAAATCTGGGAATGGATTGCTCTACAGAAATTGTCTGTGTGTCAGCTTGTAGCAGATGCCCAGAACAAGACAATCAGTTAAAACCACAAATGAGAGGTGTTTGCTATTTAATGGCCTTTGTTCACTCTAGCAATAAATGACCCAAGTGCAATGACTTGATTTAAGAAAGCCCTCCTTTAAAAGTCGCTGCTATGAGTATTTTTTAGCCATAAGGAAGTTGCCCTGATGTATGTCTGTCTTGTCTTCAGCTCATGTTATGTCCTGGAGTGGAGAGGAAGGGGGTGGTGGTTTTGAAGACATTCCACAGTACAAGTTCCTAAAAGCAGTATGCTTCACTGACTTGTTTACTGGTGCTGTAAAATGATGCATGCTATCCAAACTCAGCAAATAAAAGAAGTTTCAAAAAAACCTGTTGAAATGGCTGCTCAGTTTTGTTCAGGAATGTTTATTTGCAGGAGGAGTTCAGGAGGTGGGAGCAAAGTGTAGTATTATTTATCTGGAACCTCCATTTTGAGTCTTTCAGATTTTACTTGACTCATTTGGATGCTCTAGTTTCTGTGACAGTGGGTTAGGATCCAAGCAGTTGCTTAATGATTCTTTTTGCAAGTGTAGCTGGGGGTCTTAAATACTCAGTTATCTCCCTATTCCCCCCCCTTTTTTTTTTCCTGTTTAGTCCATATTGAACTGACATTATTGTGCATCTCCAGAGTCTTTTTTCAAGATCCCTCTTGCCACTCAGTAACATGGATAAATGCACATTGGAATCACTTCTTAAACATCTAGTGAAGAGCTCTAGATAGAGTATGGTGTGTTTAAAAGGGACATGGAAGGAAAAAGCAGATGAAGAACAGAAGGGTGTTTTTAAACTGCAATCTTTATAGCATTCTCTAAAAAGCTGTTGTTTCCATACAAGGTACAGGTTTGTTTTCTTTTTTTAAAAATAACCAAACCCTACCTGTCTACTGATTTTATATTTTAAAAACTTATTTACACAGTTACCACAAAGATAACATTTTTCATTGATGTTGCTTCAGGAGAATGAAGTTTCTGATGAAAACCTGTACTGTATTGCAAAGTTTGAGTTTTGTGGCAAGTTATGTTGAACTTCACTGAAGAGAAGGTATTTATTTAAAAGTCCTAAATTAGCAAAAGAAATAGTAAAACTGGGTTTTCACAATTGCCTTACTTTTGGCTGCTGTTAAAGTTCTCTGAGGTGTTTCTGATTGTTTGCTTTCGCAGAGCAGTGTCAAAGCAGCTGGTCCTACATCTTGGGTAATTGGCTTTTGCAAGAGCTGAAAAGAGAAACCACTCCCTGTTTTGGGTGCCTGGGCACTTACCTCCCAGCTTGAAGAATGCAAACAGCCTCGATCAGCTTGTAATGCTGAGACTGATTGATTCAGGGTTTGGAGTGCTCTGCTAGCTTGTTGGAAGTCATGGTTTGAGTATCTCTCTAAGCCCCTAGCTCACACCTCTTCCTTCTGGGAGAAGCACGTACTTGTATCTGAGTGTTAAATTATGCCAGCTCCTGTGTCCTTCAGAGGACTTGCTTAGGTTGAGGA